TACCTCCCTCCTTCAGAGTGCAGACACTGTACCTCCCTCCTTCAGAGTGCAGACACTGTACCTCCCTCCTTCAGAGTGCAGACACTGTACCTCCCTCCTTCAGAGTGCAGGCACTGTACCTCCCTCCTTCAGAGTGCAGACACTGTACCTCCCTCCTTCAGAGTGCAGACACTGTACCTCCCTCCTTCAGAGTGCAGGGACTGTACCTCCCTCCGTCAGAGTGCAGGCACTGTACCTCCCTCCTTCAGAGTGCAGACACTGTACCTCCCTCCTTCAGAGTGCAGACACTGTACCTCCCTCCTTCAGAGTGCAGACACTGTACCTCCCTCCTTCAGAGTGCAGGCACTGTACCTCCCTCCGTCAGAGTGCAGGCACTGTACCTCCCTCCGTCAGAGTGTAAACACACTGAAGGAATTGTTTTGTTGATTGAATTATAAAAGAAACACTTCACTTGAAACCGTATCCTCGCTAACAGAATCGTGATGAACTTCAAGAGTGACAAGCCACAAGGACTGAATTTCTATGCAAGTAGCATATTACTAACACTTTAACTGCTGAGGACTGAGACACAATTGTAAGAGGGAGGATCAGACCTCCACCATTCCTTGTGCTGAATGATCCATAATGGTTTAGCTCATCACAAAATACACAAATGACCCTCACATAGGAAGGAGAAGCTTATGACAATGTTTCAATCCGACCGATCTGATTGATGGACTGAAACGTTTCAAGTTTCTGTCTATGTGCGGGTTATTTGTGTATTGTCCCAGTCACGGTATTGTGCCTTTTTGTTTTTCACAATATACAATACAGTCTCAAAGTGGCGTATATGACTGAGAGCTACTGGAAGATAAATGTCTGATCTTTGGTGGTAACTATTTAGTAATAGTACAGTGGTTCCCCCATATCCACGGTGGATGTGTTCCAAGACCTACCATGGATGCTCAACACTACGGATAGTGGCGAACACTATATATGTCGTTTTTTGTTTATATACCTATGATAAAGTTTAATTGATGAACTGATAATTCTCCACTAAATACTGTATTTCGCAGCTTATTAGACACATTTTTTTTTCCATAAAATGTCTCCAAAAAGCAGCCTGTGTCCTATAAACTGAAGGGTCAGTGATGGGAGCTATAAGTTAGGGCTGTAACTCTCCCAGTTACATCCGATGCCGAGCCATTGAAGACTAAAACAAGTCTTATGAGCTGCATCTTGTAAGCCGTGAAATACAGTAAGTGGAGAATTATCACTTTTTCACTGATAGGAAGAACTTCACAACTTGGCTTTGAAGAACTGACAGTGTCACTTTTGCACTTTGTGGTTATTAGTAGTAAAAATTAAGGGTTATTTTAAGGCCACGATAAGTCACGGATAACTGAAACTGCGGAAACCGAACCTGCTGATGTGGGGGTTCTGCTGTATAGGGAATGATTTGTATTGTCTTCAGTTATCATTATGATTTGTTTTTCTTTTCTTTTAAGCATTTGTTAGTTAAATTTAAGGACGGAAATGTTAGAAGTGCTGTGAGGTGAAAGGAATCACTGACGAGAATAAGGATATGAAACTTATGCTGTAGGAGAGCTGAAGATGTATGATAGTGATGCTGGAGGTGCAAGATACAGAGACATGTCTTGCAAGACGCTGGTGGATGCAGTGAGGAGGTGCAAGATACAGAGACATGTCTTGCAAGACGCTGGTGGATGCAGTGAGGAGGTGCAAGATACAGAGACATGTCTTGCAAGACACTGGTGGATGCAGTGAGGAGGTGCAAGATACAGAGACATGTCTTGCAAGACACTGGTGGATGCAGTGAGGAGGTGCAAGATACAGAGCATGTTCTTGCAAGACGCTGGTGGGTGCAGTGAGGAGGTGCAAGATACAGAGACATGTCTTGCAGACGCTGGTGGATGCAGTGAGGGTGCAAGATACAGAGACATGTCTTGCAAGACACTGGTGGATGCAGTGAGGAGGTGCAAGATACAGAGACATGTCTTGCAAGACACTGGTGGATGCAGTGAGGAGGTGCAAGATACAGAGACATGTCTTGCAAGACACTGGTGGATGCAGTGAGGAGGTGCAAGATACAGAGACTTGTCTTGCAAGACGCTGGTGGATGCAGTGAGGAGGTGCAAGATACAGAGACATGTCTTGCAAGACACTGGTGGATGCAGTGAGGAGGTGCAAGATACAGAGACATGTCTTGCAAGACGCTGGTGGATGCAGTGAATGAGTTCTTGTAAGAAACATGTTTTACACAAGGTATTGTTTGGAGTATTTTTGATAGCATGAGAAGGCCCTTGTTTGTTTAATACAGTCAGTCTTGACAAGAGCTGGTATGCATGAGGGTGCAATTATTTTCAAAGCTTAAGAGCCTTACCGTGGAACATCAGCTCATGTTTGCAAGCATTGGTGCATTGTGAGGTGGAGAACAGAGAGGGAAATGGAGGATGAAGTTTTGAGGTCGCATTGATACATGACTTTTGAAGGGGCTGGTGTATAGAGGTTTTGCAACTAGACTATGTTTGAAACTGTATGCAGTGTAGAAGGGAGATACAAGGACAGTGTTGCAAATCTTGGATGCTGGGTGAGGAGAATTTTGTGGGGTTCAGTTGAGGAGGTGCAGGGAAACTTGAGACAGTTATTAAACACGGACAGGGGGATGGCAAGAAAGAGACAGCTTGAAGATTACAAGGTGGCAAGATACAAGAATGTCTCAACATGTGGAGAAAAAAACACAGACCATCATTGCAAGCCACTTGGATCAGTGACTAGGTCAGAACAGAGGTTTTTCAAACTGGTGGTCCAGTGCAGGTGCAAGTTGGACTTATTATTCTTGCAAAAGTGTGGATTCATCTCAGATGGTGCAAGATACAGAAATGCCTGCCTGGTGCGTAGGATTGCAAGAACAGAGCAGTCGTGATGCAAGCACGGTGGATGCCGTGAATGCCAAAACACCAACTGTTTACACTTATGCAGAAGTGCCCCAAAATTTCAAAGGGATACATTCTTTATGACTTGGGGGACAAACGTCAAAAATGTCCTAAGATCGCTGTGGAATATGAAAGTGCAAATAAATAAGTATTAATACACAGTGGATGCCGTGAGATGCTTAGATGGATGTCTTCAAACACGGTAGCATGAAGGTGAAGATACAAACCCATCTTGAAACATGTATACATAGATAAATAAGAACATATTGTAACTGGATGCAGTAATAGTATCTGTAAGAAACATGTTTTACTAAATACTTGTTCGGTATTTTGAACAAAAAACATTTTTTATGCAAGTGTTTTCAAGTTAGGCTTTGGTGCTAAATTATTCGAGCTTTATCTACCACGCTACTTGCATTTTTTTCACAGTAAAGTTGGGGAAAAGATGAAGTTGAGGAGCACCTGTCTTGATTTGGGAAATACCCTTAATGTCTTTGTCAATTGCTATAGTTACCGATACATTAAATGGGACCCAAGGCTACAGTGTATCCAATTTATGCTGCTGAGGTGAATTTTGGGGTCATTTAGGATGGTCTTGGAAACTTTTACAGTTATTAACAGACAGAAATGGTAGTAAAGATACTAGATAAATACAAGGTGGAACAATACACAGATAACCCTCACATAGGAGAAAAAACACATGACCACATTTCAGTCCGACTTGGACCAGTGACTAGTCAGACCAATGGTTATTTCTATATTGTTCCAGTCACGGTATTGCGACTTATTATTCTTGACAAGATGGAATTCATCTTCATGTTAAACAAAATGCTGCCTTGCGTACTATTCCTAGACGAGCAGTCGTGAATGTCAGCTGGTGTGTTGCCGTGAATCCTAAACACCACTGTTACCATATACAAGTGCCACTTAACTTACAAAGGGATTACATTCTGATGAACTTGTCACAAGTCAAAAATATCCTAAGTCGAATATGAATATGATATGCTAAATAAATAAGTAAATAAATAACTACAGGTGCTCCTTGACTTAGTGGTGTTACGTTCCAACGAACCCATCGTAAGTTGAAGTTATCGTAAACCAAATATGAACATAATATACTAAATAAATAAATAACTATTGTAACTGAATAAGTAAACAAATAATTACTGTAACTAAATACTGTACCGGTATTGAAAATAAATAATTGAATGCAAGTTACAGACTTGCCGCCTTTGTGCTGGGTAATTATCTCGAGTTTCATCTCCACGGTACTTGCTTTTGCACCAACGTAAAGTTGAAATATTGTAAGTTGAGGAGCACCTGTCTGTGATTGGGAAATACCCTTACTTCACTTGGCTCTTGTAGTTACCATGGAGGTGGAGGCTGCAACAGCTGTGTTGTGTGGATGTAACAGTTGCATGTAGGTGCACATCCCTTTATTGGAAACCCTTGGCCCTCTATTGTTTTGAATTTCAGACTTTCGAATTTCAGAATGATTCTCAATGCTACCATGTGGCAGCGTACCCAGCACAGAGATGACTGACGCTCCACACATTGTGAAAAAACTACGGTTTTCGGAACTTTTCGAATTTCAGAATTTCTGATAAAGGGATGTGGACCTGTATTTACTATGTTGTTAGAAGAATGTTGCTTCATTTGTGGCTAGAATTAGTTGGTGATATTAATCTTTTGCATTCTTTTACTGGAAAGAATAATAGGATTTGTTATACACATGCATTTTCTTGTAAAAAATCTATTAGATACACTCATATAACTGACGTCTTCATGTAACTGATATCTTTTATGCTATTTTAAAAGAAAGATGCAATATTCCTTATTATATTTTTTAATATACAGTATCCCAATTTGAAGAGACATGTTAAGTAGGTTTTTCTTCTATTTACATTTAGTAATTTATACAGGAGGAGGGGTTACTAGCTCCTTGCTCCCCGCACTGTTGTATTTAAAAAAATAATTAAATAGGGCATCATTTTGGGATTTTCCATTCACATTATGCACCCCAGTTATTGATAGAATTACTCATCATAAATTGTTCGTCTTCAGGTGTGCCTTGGCCCAAGGAACGACCGAGAGATCTGCGACTACAAATAACCAACGTTGTCCGGTCGCCTACCCATGATTCCCCAAAGACAACCACTGCACTTCCTCATATAATATCTCACACTTCAACTATGGAGTCTAGATCGTCACCCGAAAAACGCATGACTCCGGAGAAGAGAAAAAGTCGTGGCAGTAGCACCGAGGAGAACGAGGAGAAGAGGAGGAGTTGTGAGGCAGACACCCAGTGGATGCCACCCAGACAGTCGATCAGTATAGGCTCAGGTGAGACACCAATGGGAGTAGAGGCATTTACCTATTGGGCCATCCTAAGAAGAACACGTTACCAGCAATATCCAGTACAGGTGGTCCTTGACTTACAATGAGGTTACATTTTGACAAACCCATCAAAAGTTGAAAATATTGTAATCGAATATGATATGCTAAATAAATAAGCAAATAAATAACTACTGTAACTAAATACAGTATTGAAAAATAAGTAAATGAATACAAGTTACGAACTTGCCGCCTTCATGTTGGATAATTATCTTACGTTTCATCTCAGAAGTAATTGCTCTTGCATCATCATAAAGTCAAATCATCGTAAGTTGAAGAGCACCTGTACAGGGGTCCCCAGCTAACAGACGAGTGGTTTTTCCTGTCGTCCAAACATAGAAACGAGTTGTTTGTCATGCAGAATCCTCTTCCCTGTAGTTAACAATAGCATCGAGGATGGTTGTGCATCACAGCACTTTCCTAAATGTGGCTCAGTATTCATAAACAAATGTTTGTTTTATTTCTTAAGAGTCTTGTTCATAATTGGGAATAAAGTTTTTCTTGTTATGTTTAACCCTTAATCTGTCCAAACGTAGATCTACGTTTTTTTTTACATAATGTAAAATCGAATGTAGATCTACGTTTAGACAGTTTAAGGGTTAATGGGGAGATTCGCAGTTTGGACATCTCCACTGCCTCCAATCATCTCCTTCCTGCAACATTGACCACCCATATTTCACACCCATATAAGAGTGTTGGTACCACTACTCTCATACATTCCCCTTTTACTTTCCATGGATAATGTTCTGTCTCTGTAGATGCTTCAATGCCCCACCCATGAAACATGCTCAGTAAGTCACTTTCATGATTACGTTTGCCCGAAATACGCTGCATAACCATAGGCTTTCTGCATGCACAACCAAATGTCACCCATCCCTGTACAAACATTGTATCATGTCCTGTAGCTCAGTTGCTAGTGCACTCAGCTCACACCCTGAGGTACATGGTTTGATCCCTCGTACAGGTGGAAACATTAGGATGTGTTCTTAAGACCTGCTGTCCATGTTCACCTAGCAGTAAAATAGGTACCTGGGTGTTAGTGGACTGGTGTGGGTTGTATCCTGGGAACAAAATTGACCTAATTTGCCTGAAATGTATAGTAGTAAGTCATTGATGTCAGCTATGGTCTCTATAAGTTGTATCATGTACTTGTAGAAATAAAGATATTATTATTATTATTATTATTATTATTTTTATTATTATTCTTATTCTTGACTACACTTTAATGGCAATGAATATTTGAATGGATGTTCTGTTTTCAGTTCTTTAATTTTGAGAAAAGAAATAATGTAATTAGTGTAGAAGTGTCTTGAATATGAGTGAAATTAGAAACACCTCAGATAGTCTCCAAAAAAAAAATATTTGGTAAGTTTATTGATAATAGTGCTATATTTATTTATTATAATAGTAATTTGTAAGTACTCAGTTGTTCACATCTAATGAGATATGTCATAGTATAATCACTCCTGCATTCAATAACTAATGTACTTGTAAAGATATACTATATCGGCAGATACAGGACAAGGCGATGGCTTATTTTAAAATATTATAGTCTCAAAAAATAATATTTTTTAAGACTTCTCAGGCAAGCAAGCAGTGGAAATTAAAAAGCATCCTAGCACAAGTTTAAGAGACATGAGTCATGAGTACAAGCAAATTCACTGACTGATTATATTATTGTATGTATGGGGGAAGCTTTAAACCCACAGGGAGGGGTTATACCTGAGGAATGGGTGGTATAACCCACACACAGGAGGAAGAAACTTACGACGATGTTTGGGTCTGACTTGGGCCCTTAACACAGTTAATGGTCCAAGTCGGACCCAAACATCGTCATGAGTTTGTTTCCTCTATGTGCGGGTTATTTGTGTATTTTTACAGTCACGGTATTGTGACATTTTATTCTTAAATGGGAGTTAATAAGGTTTTATCCAGAGATTTTTATCCAGAAGGTTTTATCCGGAAGGTTTTATCCAGAGGTTTTATCCAGTGGGCACACAAGAAGTGTTGCAAAGTGAATTTCATCCTGCAACAGATGTCATCTTTATGAGACTAAAATGGACATCATTTATAGACCGAAATATACAGGCCTATGTTTTACCTTCTGTTTATTTTCTCCAAGTGAATATCTCTTTCAGGAAGGGAAACCTTGATACTGCTGAAAGGTTATTGATCTTGGAAGTTGAAGGTACTCTTTTCTTCCTGGGATCAAACCTGGTTGCCTCTACGGCATTTTCCGGCATATATGATGCACGAGCATGTAGGACAGTGTTTCCGAGCAGTTGTAACATAACGTTAGTAAACAACTGCTAAAGCGTAACCTGAAACCTATTCTTGACCCTGACCTTGAGTATTTAAGGCCCAGGGTGATTTTCCAAGACTTTTTTGTGGGAAAAAGTGAATCTTATATGCCAGAAAATGCAGTAATTTTCCATGTATATAATCCCTATGGGTTTAACACTTTCCCATGAATATAATAAGATCAGTGGGTTTACCTACACCATTAATTTTGTCATGACATGGGTAAATGCCATTAATGCAATGGCTGTAGTAAATGTCTGTGGCTTGGCCATTTACATCACTCTTAGAACATTAGAGCCCAGCCTTCCCATCTCCCAGTCCTGGACCTGTTACTAGCTGTGTTCAGTCGGCATAACCCTCAAGTCTTCTTCCTGTTGGTGCTGGCATAGGTCTAGTGTCCCTGGAGCGTGGAAAAAGGGATCAGCCTCGAACCCACAGGTAGGCCAGTTGGTCTTGCTAAAGGCTGAGGCTTCAGTAAGGCAGACTCACTTCAAGGTAGCAGAGGCCCTTGTGGCATATACCGTATCTTACTGCAAAAGAGATGCTGCAGTGTCGAGGACGTCGCCCCTGTTCAGATTGGCTAAATTTTGGAAATAAAAGATATACAATACTATGGCCTCCAAGACACTAGGTAAATTTTTGAGACTTATTTTGGAAGAAAAATGGCATTTTCAATGCCGTAAAATACGGTATTTGCGCTCCTTATGTTTGGCTTCTACACTGATATATTTGTCTTGAAAATATCAGTCAAGTTTAAAGTATATTGTTTTTTAACTGAGTAATGTACATAAAGTAACGAGTGAAAAAGTCAGTTTAATGAACCTCAGTTTAATGGACTTTGGAAATGTGGGACAGAATCCACGGGGTCAGTTGACTGAGAAAGAGCAAACAAAGTCCGTTGGTCACAGAATTGCCCATTCTTGTTACAGTCACAACAAAATAATCTCGCCTCTGTTCACCATAGTTGTCAAAACTGGACCGACCCCTCTCCCCCTCTATTAGTCCATTAAATCGGGAGTTTACTGTATATAATTGCTTCATTTTGCAATATCCACTTACGTGGTAACACTTCTGGACTGCCATTGACATATTAAGTTGAATTCACCACATAAGTCAAATTTGAGTTGGTATTCACTGCATAAGTCAAATTTGTGTTGATATTTACAGCATAAGTCAAATTTGAGTTGATATTCACCTCATAAGTCAAGTCGAAGGAGGAAGTGACTCTGCCTTGCACGAGCAGTGGCACGTAGTTTCAAGCACAGGTACACAGCAGCATCACTGACGGGATATACTGTCTCCTCCACTCTCTTGGTTTGGTCTTTGCATACTTGTAGCTCACTTCTTGGTTAACTAAATGACTGGTTGGTTAATTGGGCCTGAAGCCCATTGGCTACTCAACAGGTCATTAGGGCTGCATGTCACCTGTTCACCACCAGTCAAGACTACTTGAATACCTTAAAAAGGGAGTAAAGGAAATTCTCAGTGTATATACACTGAGGGATAGACACATCTTAGTGTATATTCCTTCACTTCAATGTATATACACTGAGGGATAGGCACCTCAACATGTATATACCTTCACTTCAGTGTATATACACTGAGGGATAGGCACCTCAACATGTATATACCTTCACTTCAATATACGTATATACACTTCACTTTTGTGCGAAGTTATTCACATGCTAGTTAATTCACTAGTATTACAGGTGGAATTCAAGTGAACTATTTTTAATTATACTCTTTAAGGCATTTTTTGTTACTGCATTATTACTATTATCAATTATTATTATTATTATTATTACCAATTATTATTATTATTATTATCAGTTATTATTATTATCAATTATTGTCATTATTATTATTGTTATTATTATTATTGTTATTGTTAGTATATTATTATTATCTGGTTATCTAGGTAACCAGTTAGAAAAATTTTTGTATCTTAAGTATAATAACAAAATTTATTTGCTGTAGAACTCATTACAATAAGTCAACTTAATTATCAAAAATCGTACTTATCAAAGTGAGTGAACATTTACCTTTCTACTAAAAAAGTAAAATAGTCTCAGCTTAAAAAAAACAATAAAAAGCGAAAGATGACCAAAAAAATACTTGAAAGGCCTCTGGAAAAGACATCGGTTTCTTACTTCGAAGGCTTTTTGTTTTCTTCCTTAAAGTTGTCAGTCCCAGCACCACTAGGGGTCATATCTCTATGTACAGCACATAACATCACGTTATTTTGTCTTGGCGAGTCTTCTCTATCGGCCATAGTTATCTTTACAGGTATTTTGAGGTATAATGTCTGCCCCAAACCAAAATGGACTCTCTAGCATTGTTGAAATATGGTATAAAATACAGCCTCTCCTCACTTAACGACGGAGTTCCGTTCCCAAGACCAAGTCATTAAACGAGTATGTCACTAAGTGAGGAGAGGCTGTATTGACAAGTTGATGAGTAAGATACATACAGCAGTTGGAGATATTGATGAACTGATAGACTGATAGCATCATCCTTTCTCATCACTACTGCTGCCTACAGTACATACTCCTCTGTATTTGACTGACGAAGCCTATTGCATAGGCAAAACATTTCACCAATAAATATACCCAACTGTTCCCCACGTGTCTTACCCTGTACAGCACAGG